CTCTCTCTCCCTTTCCCTCCCTCTCTGACATTAACAAAAATGTATTTTTTAAAAACTTGCTCATTAAGATCACATATGACCACCATGCTGCAAAACTAAATGTTCAATTCTCAAACCTTTTTTCTTTAAGCTTTTACTAGAGGCCCGATGCACAGAAATTCATTCACAGGTAGGGTCCATAGGTTTGGCCTGCAATCAAGGCCAATTGGGGCCTTCCAAATGCCAACTGGGGCCTCCCTTCCCTGGCTGCCGACTGGGGCCTTCCTTCCTTCCTCGCTTCCCCCTGGTGGTCAGCACACATCATAGCAAGCAGTCAAACTTCCAAGGGGACACTTTGCATATTAGCCTTTTATATAGAGAGAGATATAGATATATTTCCTGAATTTTTGAAGTAAGCACAACATAATTTTATAATTAGAACAGTAAAGCTATTTAAAAAACCGACAGCCATCACCTGAAACAAAAAGATCAATCTTATATGATCTTGGCTAAATGAAGTACACAGTGATAAAGGTCCTTAATTCTATATATTGCTACTCTTGGAGAAGCTTGCAAGTGCCTTCATCCCAAGCAATACTTAAAAACCAATTCCAAGTAATTTAAAATATTTCAGGTTTCTACAGACCATTTGTGAGAACTCTGTCATGAACCTATAAAGTGTTAATTGAGAGAGAACACCGAAATAGATGTTCATGAATTAGTCACCTAAGGCAACTAAGTAATTAAAGGGAGGAGTTCCGCTGATAACATCGGTCGCCTATGGGATAGAGAACTGAAGGGGATGGGGGTGCAAGAATGGGAAAGAGAATTCTAAGTAGTTGTTAGTATCTTTGGAATTCTGAGCCATGTGAATGTATTGCATACTTAAAAATAAATAAAGTACAAAAACAACAGAAACATTATCAAAACACTGTGGTTTCCCATGACTTATTCAAAATTTTAAAAGTTATTCTTTAAGCTATCTATTAGTGTTGAGGTCAATTAAGAAGTAAAGTTTTCAGTCTATTCAAGTCAAAATAGTTGAGGGGCCAGGGGAAGGACCACAGAGAGATGAGAAGATGAGTATGAATCATATGTGGAAAGATGAGGGGGAGCAAACAAAATGTGATTTATTAATAATGGAATTTGTTTTTACACTCTTAGGCAAGCAAAAAATTCCAACACTGCCTCTATATTCATATTACATTATATTGTGCTCTTGAATTTTTTTGCTTATGGGAAATATCAAAATGTCAACTATTGTTTCTATGAAAGGTCTTTAATGATATTGCATTTTGGACCTGTAATGAAACATAGTGCTCACTGCAGTTTGTAATGCATCTCATTAAATACATTAATAACATGCATTTCACTAAAAGGTCAACTTATTATGGCTGGAGTTTGGCTTTCCTTTAATCACTTCATTTAAAGCTATAGAGCAAACTCTGAAAAAGACAGTAGAGTGCCTGTTACAAAAATGTTCTCTCAATTCCCCATTCATTAAAATCAGTTATGCTTATTAAGAAATCATTGTTAATGTTTTTATGTGAAATAATGTTTTGATTTTTTTTTTAATCCTTTTATTTTAGAAATACATGCTAATTTACTGATAATAGGATGTCTGGTATTTACTTCAAAATAATCCAGAAATAAGGGGAGAGTTAGTATAACTACAGATGAAGTACGTAAGATTGATATTACTTAGCTGATAACGGTATGAGTTCATTGTACAATTCTCTCTACTTTTATGTAGATTTGATATATCCCATAATGAAAAGTTTTAAATAACTCTTGCTGAGTTTTCCTTAAGTAGCTTGCACTCTTCCTTGTATATCATTGCTATCAACATAAAAGACCTTCCTCCTAATACTGGAGAACTTTTTAAAAGAAAATCCAAGGAAAAGCTAATCCCGTTAGAGAAATGGTTTCAGTATACAAAAGATTACTTAATTTTGCCAAGGTTACTTCATGGTTTATTACTATGCAGCTATGCTACTAAGATATTTTAAAAATGTCTTTGAAATTACTTCACAGTTAAAGAGTTAATTACTATCATGTAACGTCAAGGTGATTGGGGATTAAATGCATATGTGTGTTGTTGAAGGAAGGAGATATTTGTTAAGTTTCTGAAAAGTAGACATTAGGGTACTGAAGGTACAAAGACATGCTCAGAAGTTTACTGTGGCTAAAATACAGCTGGAAGTCTGCTGATTTATCAAGAAAACACTATTTGAGAACAGGATCCTAAATGCAATGAAACTGACATTGCGAGCATAAAAGAAGAGTCTGAGATGAGAAGAAATCAGAAAGGCAGGAGAACTCAAACAGCATATGTAATGTCACCAAAGTCAATGGGAAATATTTCCAGGAAAGACTGAACGTTTCAGGGAGGCAACAGGCTGGGTTTGGCAATAAGGAAATATCTGTTCACCTTTCTGTAAGCATAAGCTGAATTGTATTATCTATAATAAAAGGGCAAAATGCTAATTAGACCAGATGTCCCTCCGGACGATGTCCTTCCCGACAAAACCAGGGCTGTGAGGGAAGCCTGGGTCCCGGGTGCCAGAGAGGAGCCAGTGCCAGCAGCCCAGGGAAGGAAGGCCTATTCTTGCATGGTTTTCATGCATCGAGCCTCTACTAATCAAATAAAAAACTATCAATTTTCCAGCACAAATGGTTAATTTAGATTATACAGGGAATATAAATACTAATGAAAAAACACTGAAGACAGTGGGGATAGTTTGTTACAATGACGGCCATCATTCGTATAGCTGAACATTGCCAAATAGCTTTCAGCAGAAAAAGATAATACCCAACTCTAACATTTGTGTTGTGCTATGTGCCGACACTGTGCTAAGGCACTGTATCATGTCCTTTAATCTCACAACCTTATTATCACCATTTTAGTGTGATGTTAAGTAACTTGCCCAAGATCACAGAGATGGAATCTAAACCCACAAAGTCTGACTTTAACTACTGCAAGACCAAGCAAACTGAAAAGAGATTTACTTAAAGACAGTTAAGTTCCAGTGTTTACTTGAGGTCAGTACAAATTCAGCGTATGTTCCACAACGGCTTTACTACACAGTATAAATTCTTCATTCAGAATAAAATAGTCAAGATATTTTTCTTAAAATCTGTTTACCAAGATAGGCAGTTATATAACATGTCATATTGTCATCAGAAGGTTGAAAACAAATATTAACTACCTGTAAGATGTGCAGGAATTCAGGTTATCAGAAAACTCCCCACTCTCCCATCTTAAAATATATGATATCAAACGAACATTCCTTTCTTCTTCCACCATAGCCCACCCCGTCAGATTATTAGACATCCATCAGATTATCTGGAGTTCATCAATGAGGCAAAGAGGCAATTGGTTAAATACCAAAAAAAAAATAAAGGGAAAAAAAATCAGAACTGTTAAACTGCTAAAGATACTAAATTATATCCAAGTATAAAAATGTATCCATTATACATGATACTGATTCTTAAAATATCAATATTTTTTTAAAATATATTTTATTGATTTTTTACAGAGAGGAAGGGAGAGAGATAGAGAGCTAGAAACGTCAATGAGAGAGAAACATCGACCAGCTGCCTCCTGCATACCCCCATTGGGGATGTGCCCACAACCCAGGTACATGCCCTTGACCGGAATCGAACCTGGGACCTTTCAGTCTGCAGACCGACGCTCTACCACTAAGCCAAACCGGTTTCAGCTAAAATATCAATATTTTAAGATGACTTAAAAAAATGGAAAGGCTCAAGCAAGAAGACTATTAAGTAACAAAATGGAAAAGGCCTTTAACAAAAACATTTCAGAAAGTCTAGGTCTCATTCCAAGGCAAACCAGGGATTAGGTCAAAGATAGCAGAGAAATGCTCCAAAAATCTCAAAAATTTTGAAAACTGGCCATCTATCATTTATTTAAGGGAGGAAGGGGAAAAAGCTGGGAAAGGGATATAAAAGACCCACCCTCACAGTATCTGCAGGGTTTCCAAAGGATTAACCAGGACTTTCACATAGGAAACAGACTTTAAGTATGGCAGGACATACAATCTAAAGACTGGACTCTGGGAAGTAATTTTTATTTAAAACAAATGTTTTCCTATGCGAATGGTCCACAAAATCTCCTTCCCTAGAAATCCTACCTATTTATTTGGAATGGTGTAAGCTCCCTAAAGGTAGGTATCAAATCCTCCTCAGCTCCCTTCCAATTCTAATGCTGTAAGATAAAAATAAGTTTTAAAGAACAAATGAAAACACTAAGCCTCGGCAGGTAAATGAGAATTAGGGATCCCAACCACAGTGCACTCGCCCCAAATCTCTCCATACCCCCGTCTTTTGGTGCCACTGAGCACACAGGCATGCAGCACACGGGAGGCAGAAAAGCTGGAGTTTTCTCTCTGCCTTGCATACACAAGCTCTGTAATTCAGCAACTCATTCTCTCTGGGCCACAGTTCTTTCATATGTAAAATGAAGGGACTGGGAACCAAAATATTTCTAAATTCCTTTTTTCTCCTAAAATTTTTGGCCTTCACAGCTCAGCAATTCTCTTCTGAAACTTTTTTCCTCCTTCTGCAGTCATCATCTTGCCTCATTCTATGCAACTCAAAGGAAGACATGAATAAGATCTTAGCATCTTCTAGAAGCCTCACAATAAAACACAAGGCATCTTTTAAGTATGTGATACAACCAATTTAAATGAACTGATTTTAGTCATTCCTTCTCTCCTTTTCATTTTCTAACAGATTTTCAGCGAGTGTTCTCTGAACATTAAAAGAAGTAACTCAAAAGCCAAGGAGCAGAGGGGGAGGTAAGAAAAATAGCAGAACAGACATGACTCCAGCACCCAATCCACTTCAACCAAAGTTCTCTTCATTTGATAAAAGAATTATATTCCTTTTTTTTTTTTTTTTAGTTAAAAACTACTATTTTATACCATGTTATCATGAAAACCACGTCTTCTCTTTTTTAACTCTGTGGTGCTGCAAAATATCCCAATAAGTATGCTTACTATTTTTTAAGGCGCTGGCAAATTCTTGGCCACCCTTGTCCTTGAAAATTGGGAATACATCTGGTTGAGGAAGCTGATTGGTAGTCAACAGAGCTTTCTGCAGTTTGATCCTTCCTTCCAAGAGCTGGTCCCACAGTGCTGAGAAAGAAAAAATAATTCCATTCCTCAGTTATATAATCTTCCTGGGGAGGGGAGGGGGTGTTGAAAAGGATAGGAAATCACACCAGTCTGTCTCTAAGCAACACAACTTTATCACAGTTTTTCATGCCACGGAAACACTCTCTGGTATAGGAAATAAATTCAGTATCTTGGAAGCAAATAATGTGCTACATGAGAGAAAATGCTAAGCCCAAGGAGAGGAGAAAACGCTCTCCTCTTCAATCTTCCACAGTTGCCGGAAGTACCAGAGCAGAACCAACTAAGCAGCTCAGTGTAGAAATGGCTGGCTAAGCATAGAGGAATGGGGCTTTAGGCTTCTAGGTAAGTGGGGCATGTCACAAACTTAATTGGAAGGACACAGGAGAGAGCAAACAGTCAAAAACAAACAAACAAACAAAAAGGACATCAAATGCAGACACTTTGAAAAATAAGCAAACCATGTACAAACCTATCTGGTTCTTCACAGCTCTGCCTTTCTCCACTTCCTCGGAAACTTTGGCACTGGAGAAGGTCATCACCACACCATCATCTTCACTGTTCCTGTCTTCAGCCCTGTCTTCCTCACTGGCACCCTCTAAATCTTCTTCCCCATCCCCGTCTTCCATGCCACTCTCCTCCTCTTCATCTTCCTCGTCATCACTGCTACCAAGGTCATCCATTCCCTCAGTAAATTTTTCAAAGTCACTGATATTCTGGAAACTGAAGCCTGGTGTTTTCCCAGAGCGGCTTCTGCTCCCCTTCCTTTTTGCCAGACTATTGTCCCCATCATCACCACACTCCTGTTCCTCGGCAACACTCATGGCATCCTCATCAGACTCCTCCAGACCCAGCCCCTCTGAATCGCCATCTCCAGACTCTTCCTCATCAGATATTTCCTTGTCTAAACAAGAGAGAGAAGAAGGAAAGACAAAGGATGTTACCTTGAGACAAATACCGGGCTGTATTTTTCACTTCTTCTAAAGGACCATGGCAGTTATTTTTTTTTTTTATAGTACTATAGTATTATACATTGTACTCAATCCAATAAATATTTATTACACATCTATTATCTATAAAATGCTAATGGAGAAGCAAAGATGAACAATACATAAGTACGATCCTAACATAAAGGTTCTAGTGGGAAAGACCCATAAAATTATAATACAGAAAAGACTTTAAAAGCTTTAACAGAGTTTTAATAACCCAGAGAAGAGGGAAATTTTAACTGTGGGACAAGTGAATTTAAGTATACTTAAATAGGAAGAGAAGATCCTTAGTCTGGACCTTGAAGAATGGTCAGATTTCAATGGTGTGAGGGAATTACCAGTTCTCTCAAAACTGCATCTAAAAGTATATACCTTAACTCTCCCAAATGCATAATTTCTATCACACAAACGTACACAATTTATTATATACTTACTAGAGGCCCGGTGCACAGATTCATGCATGGGTGAGGTCCCTCAGCCGCTTGGTAGCGCTGCTGCAGAGGCAAAAGAGGCTCCTGCACTGCACTCGCCAGTCATGAGCCCAGCTTCTGGCTGAGTGGCGCTCCTGCTGTGGGAGTGCACTGAACACCAAGGGACAGCTCCTGCATTGAGTGTCTGCCCCCTGGTGGTCCATGCACATCACAGCAACCAGTTGACCTGTCGTTCGGTCTTAACAGTCGCTTAGGCATATATATATATATATATATATATATATATATATATATATATATATTATAATATATTAAGCATCTAATATGAGCCAGGCATAGAAAAATGCTAAAGAATGATAAATAGAATGTGATACCTATGAGGAAGGCTTCATAGTCTGTTTGGAGTGGTAGATATGCACACCAGTAATTATGTTACAATGTCATAAGAAACCACTTAACTCACCTGCAAAGGTGAGAGATGGCTTCATGTGTAGGAGGAGACATTATGACTTTACCTATTAAGTGTAAGTAACAGTGCATCATATAGAGAAAGGGGAAAGAGAAAACAGCATATGCAAAGATCCAGCACCTTAAAAGTACACTAGCGTACAGAATGTTAGGAGATATGCCTACAGAGTTGCTATTAGGAGAGTCTTACCTGTAATGGGAAGAAGTTTAGAACTTGATCCTACAGTAAGTGGAATGTTAATTACAGCTCCTGATTTTACTTTTCCTTAGGGTATCACCTGATTAGGGTTATCATTGATTATCCTATCTCTTACATGGTAGAATGTAAGGGTCCCACGTATAGCAAACATAATTACTAGACACAGGGACTAGTTACCAACAACTTTCTTCAATAAAATAAAGATTTTATGAAAACGTGGAGAGGCCTTCAGTGTTACTTTTAAAAAACTATATATAAACTAAAGACACAGGGAAATCTGTGAAATATACATATACAAAAACTAAATGCAAAGTTCTTTAAAGGTATGCAATTTTTCAAATTAAGAAACATTCCTACAGAGTACTAATTAAGAGTACTCTTGGAGTCGGACTGCCTTACTAAGTCTGGAATCCTCCACTTACTACCTATATGACCTTAAACAAGTTACTTAACCAATCTATCCCTCCATTTCTTTATCTGTAAAATGGGAATAAATAGTATCAACCTCACAAGGCTATTGGGAAGATTAAATGAAATTATGTAAGTAATGATAATGGTGATAACATTTTTTGAAGACTTACTGTGTCCCAGATTCTTGGAATTTAATTTAAAGCATTTTCTACCGTGCCTGATACATGGTGACAACACAATAAGTACTACTATAATATTTGTCTCATACTAGTCTCTTTAGCAGTCTCTAGGCAAAAAATGTGAAATGAGGTTATCAGGAACTTGCAGAACTATATCAAGGACTAAATCATATTCATATATATATATATATATATATATATATATATTTTAACCTAAATGAAAGTTTGTTTTATATTATCTGCGGATTCTCAACATAGCACCTCCGATCTCTTTAATGAAAATCAAATGGCATACACTAAGCAATTACCATATGCAACCACTTCTTCCACTCTGCTTTAAAACTATAAGCTCACATCTTCTAACACTCCTACAGGGAATAGGGAAGGATTATGTTATTTTTGTAATGGCAAAAGATGAGTTTCACAAATTAATGTCATATAGTGACCCAATGTAAGACTGAAAAACTGAAGGAAAAGGATCAAAATCCCTGAATAGCACGCTGATCAGAGGCAATGCTTTTTCAATACACAGCCTCTTCAATGTCCAATATGCACTGCCTTTTCTCTTACTCGATTTTACAGTGAACTATTAAACATAAGGAGTGTAGCAACTTAATACCTTCAGACTTTTGATTCCTTACAAAGTGGAAATTAAGTACCTCTAAGGCCCTTTCTAAAGCTAAATCAATGATCTCTCTTAAGATCATCGGTGGGGGTACATAGACTAGTCCTGCAAAATTCATTAAAAGGGGGAGAGAGGGAATCTTAACCTTAAAAAATTGGGGAAGAAAGAGGAAGAGTACCATGCAAAAAACAAACAAACAACCCCCCCCCAAAAAAAAAAAAACACATGCAAATATATCCACTTACCAGAAGAACCTGATAGAGGATGCTCCCATTGGTCTTCCTTCAAAGCTTTCCTAGAGATGGTCTTGCCAGAATACCTTTTGTCTGTGTCCAAGAGGGAGGCTGATGCCAGTTTCCTAATGTTACCCACAGCCAGTAAGTCACCTTCCCCATCTTCTCCTTCCTCAAACCTGTCAATCACTCTGGCAGCAGTGGCTGTGGAGGGGTGAGGGGAAACGTAATCAGAACCTCCAACTTTAATGGTAACCCTGTCCAAACCCTTTCCATTCATACTTGAATGTCCTCTACGAAATCCCTAACAACTTCCAGGAACAGGGAACTCATTACCTCCCAAGGCAGTCCTCTACCTTGCCGCTGTTCCTGAACAGAAAGCCAACTCTGTATGTACTAAGTCGAATATAGTTCTATGCCTTGGATCACATAAAACTGGGGTAATTCTTCTTCCATACATGACAGTCACTCAAACATTGTCAGCCATCAATCCTCATGTTCTGTCCTCATTCCCTCCTATCCCTCGAGGTGTTTTTTGGGGGGGTTTTGTTTTCTTTTTGTTTGTTTTTTTGCTTACCATGGCAAAATAGCCCCAGTTCCTTCAACTGATATCCCTAACACGCAGTCCAGCACTCACATTTATCCTTCATTATTCTCCCTTCCTCACACTTTGTTAACTCAAAAGTCTAAAGCAGGATCACTCCCAACTAGACCTCGAACCTGAGCGTACCCAACCGAGTCTCCCTCATCAGCCCCTGAGCAAATGTCCTGAGGCCTGAAGAGACTCAGGCAGCACCACGGAAATCCACTTCATTCCCCAAGTTAAGTGCTTAGGGACAGGCAGGGTTTACAAACCGGAGGAGACTTCCTCCTCCTCCTCCTCCTCCTCCTCCTCCTCCTCCTTTCCAACACAATTCCTGGAAGAGCATCCTGAAAGTAACTCCCAACCTGCCACCAGACTCTGGTTCCCTGCGACAGCCCTGGACCAGTTACCGAGCCACAGTCCGCGGGACGCTCCGCCACCGCCACCCCCCCCAAAACCTCTTCCCCAGCCCCCAAACCTCTCCCCCACCCCCGGCACCGAGTCTACCGAGGACAGCGTGTCAGCAGCTAGCTGTCCTCCGGAGCCCGGGGCAAGCCTCCGGGGTCGGGGGGCGGTTTTTCCCCCCGCACAGGAATAAGGAGGCGGCCCTCCCACGCCGCCCGGGCCCGCACGTGGCTTCGCCCCGGTCACCTCACCCTCCTCCGGGTCGGCCTCCGGATCCGCCTCGCGTGGTCGCGGGTTCAACAGCTGTTCCAGCTGCAGCGCGAGGGGTTGCGACCCCGCCATGGACACCCGGTCAGTCTCACTCCGCTCCGGGCCGCGCGCGCGGACGGGAACGTGCGGCCCTCACTCGGGACGCTCTCTCCCCGCGGGGCCCTCCCTCCGGGAGACGCCTCCCAAAGCCAGTCAGGAACCGCGCGGAGCCCGGCGCTCCGCTCGCGACGGGCAACTTCCGGGAGGGGGCGGGGCCTCCGCGTCTCCGCCGGGCTGAAGGCGGAAGCGCCCGCGAGGCTGAAGGGATTGTCGCCGGCCGGCCGCGCATGCGCGTTGAGGGGCGTGTTGGGAGGCGCGGGAACGCGCACGGGTGCTGGCTGACGCCGGCGCTCCGCAGGGATTGCGATGCGAGCTGTTGTTGTCCCCTCGCATGAACTATTCCTCAAGATTTGTCCGAGATTTGCTTGGAAATAAAGTATGGCGTAGCCGTGACCCTGCCGTGGTGGCTGATTTGGGAAGGAGGGAGTCGAGCTTGAGGGGCGCTTTGGGGTGTGCACAAACCTGGGACTAAAAGCGGGTCTGGCGTGTCTCCATTTGGAGGGGCCGAGTTAAGACGTGGGCCCCGCAGCAGCCAGGATTTGGCAATCCTACATCAGATTTGTGTGTAGTATGTGTGTAGTCATACGGCAGGCTGCTGGCATCTTTACTAATAGGGATAATTAGAAATCGCTATGGTTGTGCATAAATAAAGATCGATTATGTAGTTTCTCCAAGTAGCCTTGTCTAAACAGGGGAAAGAGGGTGGGGAGGAGGTGACTACTAGTCACACCCATCGCTATTGATAGCTCTGCTGTTCAAAGGGGAGGGCATACTCTGACAATTGGAACTGATACAGAAAACCTCAAATCTACCGTTAGACTCAGAATATAAAGACTTAATGGGATCAATTTAATTGCATTCAGGCGCATGGAAAGATACAATCCTTTGATATTTTCTTTCCTCATCAAGCATTCCCTGACTGCCCGCTATGTGGCAGGCACTGCTAGAAGAGATGCAAAGATGAGTAAGTTAGAGTCTCTCCTTAGTGATCAGCCTAGAGGGGCAGACAGACTTGTAAACAGAAGCAACAATAAGAGATGAGTGATCTTCCAGAGCCATCTACCCTTCCAGGATCTGTTTGAAGTCACTTGTAGAGAACTGAAAAACCCCTAAACTGAAACTGCCTCAAAAGGATCCAGAAAACAGACGTTCAAGATGCCCCATGACCTTTTTGGATACAGCCCAGGCTAATTGTACCCCCACAAGCTGAACTTCCTAGGGAACCTCAGCTCCCCAGTGTTTACTGAGGAACCCAAGGGAAGTAGGAATCCCTGATGTTCACAGTCTTCATATCCCTTCAAGATCTATGAGGGACCACCACTTTAGTGTGCCTTGTCATACAGATGTCCCTTCCTGAGTGGCTGCATACGAGAAGGAGACCTGTTTTAGGATTGATCTCCCCCACAAACATGGAAGGGAAAGAATGCCCGGCTAGAAATAGAGCACCCTGGCCAGGGGACTCAGGCAAAAAACAAACAGCAGCAACACACACACACACACACACACACACACACACACACACACTGCTTTTTACTGCCTGAAAGAAAATTCAAGCTAGAAAATAGCTTTTTTAAAAAAACAAACACAACATATCCCCTGGAGTTGCAGTCTAGTGCCCCTCTCAGAGCAAAAGCATGCTCCTCAGTCTGTAACAAGGGGCCATTGCCTTAGGCTTCCAAGGACAAAAATGTTTCTCTCAGCCCATATTTAGGAAATTACCACCCACATTCCTCTTCCCTTCCTATTTTGGACACAAACTGCTTAGAAATCTGCTCTAGGGGTAAAGAAAAGCAAGAAACCGGGAGGAAGACAAGGCAGGTCATAGACCACCTCTAAGCTGCCATGCAAACAGGACACATCCACTCCTGTCTCATACACTCCAGGGCCCCCAAATGCCCCCCTGCTTTCTTACCCCATGCTGAGGGGAGGGGAGGGAGAGGATTCCAGGAATGGAGAAAAAAGGGAGAATTCTAAAACTTAAGATGCAACTCAGAGAAACTGAGGCATGGGGCAGGACAGCAACCTCCCATGCTTTCTTTTTCCCCCACCCTCTAAAGGAAAGAGGGGTTTCCTGATGGGGATGGGAAGGAGACGGAGGGTAGTCTGGGGGGGGGGGGAGACGTATTTCAAAGACTTCATTTCCTAGAAGAAATGCAAACTTCCGACTGCTCTAGAAATAAGAACAGATGAGATAAGCAGGGGTGATGGGTATAAATGGGAGCACACTCCCAAAAGAACAGTCCTCCCCAGAGAAGGTCAGAGGAATACCCTCTGCTTGGGGCCTGAGGGCTGCAAAGTGGCAGACAGATGTAGGAATACCGGAGTATGGGCAAGGGTGCCATTAGATACCACCCTGGCCCCCCCCCCCCCCCCAATCAACGGCCTATCCCATGAGGAAGAGTTTGGGGAAACCAGGTTCTTAACTGCCTCTCATCTCTTTTCTGATACTATCCATCTCCATCTCCAGGTCCCAGGCCCTGCCAATGCCTGTCCTGGCTTTCCATGAATAGTCCTCCCCAATCTTGTCTCACCTTAAAGTAGCCACCCAGCTTCCCCCAGGCCCCACCCCCACCCCCCCCCACAGCCTGGGGAAGTTGGGTGGATGAGTTTCACCTCTTTCACCCAGGGCAGATGGTGACTCTGCTGCTGGCACCCTGAGGGCAGGTGGCAAAAGGCACCAGCGGTGGCGGCTTTAAGATGGCTGCAGGGAGAAACCAGGCTGCCAGAGAGGAAACTGCCCTCTTAGGCGGGAGGGGACCGCCTGGGTACTCCCCGCTGCCTGGCTGACCAGGTCTTTCTCTGGCAGCTCCTAACTCCACCCGAGTGGGGATGGTGAGGTGCTTTTCTGCACCTTAGAGCTAGAGGTGGGCGGCGAGGGTCTGAAGGGAAGGAAAGCAGTTCCTGACATTTCTAGATTTCCTCTTCTCAGGCAGCTCCAACATTGACTGCTAAGCTTTGCCACCTGTTCAGGTGTTCGCTAGGGTTCAGGGGACAGCGCCAAGGCAGAAAGACTGAGCTGCTGCCTCAGAGCGCCCAACTCGAAAACGATTCTTATCAAGCGCCCGATTCCACAATAAAGCTGCTAAATAATTCAGTAGGCTTGATAGGAAAATGCAGCTTCCCAACGAGGTGCAGTTAAATGAATGTCTTTAAAAGGGGTGGCTATAATAAATAAGTTGGCTATGATTTAACACAAATAAATGCTAAATGGGGGGGGGGGAGAAACAACCCATCCAGTGATTGCATACAAAGCAGATAAAGAAATGTGCTACGTGCAGATGTTAGGGGTTTCAGAAGTTTCTCCTGTATTTCATAAATTTGGATTTCTACAGGACACCACTAGATTCCTCCCTGATAGTCCTCCCCATTCAATAAGCCATCACATGGGTGCAGTGAAATATTGCTTATTTTAAAGCCTTCTTGTCAGGATACAGTTGGTTTCTTAACAAAATATGGAAACAACACTAGAAAATACATGCCATTTAATGTAAAACCTTGATTTTTAAAAAAGGGTAAAGTAAATAACCCAGTGTGAAATCTAGGTGATACGGAAAAGAAATCCTGGAACTCTAATAGGGTTTGATATTAACACACACACACACACACACACACACGTATTTCATAGTAGAAAAAATATTTAAATTCCTTCCACACTTAATGAAGGGTTGGAAGGGACTGAACTACTTTTCAAAACTAATGGAAAACTGCAAGTTGACATTTGATTTCTATATTGGTTATTTTTATTCATCTCTCAAAGAAATGTAATATGTATCTGTACCAGCAAAATAATTTTCCTTCTGGGGAACTTCAAATGTAGCAAATACTATAAAACAACTATTTCATATCATTTCTGTGGAAGGGATTAAAGTATTTCATTTTCAGCTGTACTGTACATTCGTTTTACATTATTTTTCAAACCACCAAATTAGAAAACAGGATTACCTATGGGAAATGAATTGAAACTGAAAAAGACCACCTCTAACTCTATATTTGCAGCTGACATTCACAAGTCCAGTCTTGTTTGTGCGGGGATGATGGGTTGGGGGTGGGTGGGAGAGAGTACATGTGATCTCATGCCTAATCACAGACTAGGGTCATTCATTTTGAGCCATGGATTTTATTTCTATTTCAAATTCTGTATTAACTTATCAGCAAGTATCTCTTCAACTGTACCAGTTAAATCCACAGAATGCAAATCTGTAGTTAATAACAGCAGGAAGCCAAGGAGAAAAGCTTGGCTGGCATTGGGAATGGGGTTCAACCACAGCCAAGGTGAAAACAGGTAACTCAGTCCTGCCTCGCTTCTAAGGGGTCACCCTGCCTCCCTTCCAGAACTGAAAACATCAAATAACACACCGGTTATCTAAACATCAGATTTTCTATTTTTATTAAAAACTCACAAATTTATTCAACATGTTTTCTTTCATACAGTGAATGGTCTAATATGCACTGGAGGTCACACAAGCTTAGGTTTATCAGAACAATAAAAGACATGTGAGAAATTTAATATATAAAGAAAAAAGTAGCAGCTGCTGACTGCATATTTGACCATAAAATTTAAATATTTTGGACTTTTATTTTTAAAGACACAAAAATAAAACCTGTGTGGGTCTATATAAGTCATATTAACAATTCCATGAATGTTCAACAGGACTAAAAATTAGCAAAGATGTTTCTTTCTTAAACCTTGTAACACTTTTTTTTTTTTTTAACACTTTCTCAGGTTGTGGTGCCAGGCACCTTTACAGTATTTGTGCTATAATTATTCTATTTGGCAATTATTCTATTTGAATATCGTGTTTTCTTTTTGCCTTGTGTAAACAACACCTTTTTACATACTAGCACAGTGAGCTGTGAGCCCTGCAAATCTGTCAGAACATCTACAGGAAAAGAAAATGAACAATTTTGGTTGACTGCTCAAAACGTTTTGTTTTTGAACAAGAGGTTTCAAAACAGGATGTATTAGTAAAACA